TTTTAATTATTATTCATTATACCTAAGTAGTAGCTAATATCTATCTATAAAATAGTATAGGTAGGTAGTTTTATTTATTAATTTACCCAAATGAATCGGTGAAACTATTAAATTACATATATAATTTAAGAGGATGCCAATAATAGAAATTATAAAACCAATAACACAATTTTAGGTGCCAATAACTATAATTTTCGGTTATTTTATACTTGATGGTAAATAAAAAAAAAAGTATTTAATATTTATATATAATGATCATAAGGTAAGATTGATAACAATATGCTTAATCATTGGAAATGATAATACAAGTTTCAACTATGTTTAAGTCTGAAATTTCATGGAAACAAATATACACTTTTCTAAAGAGTGCCAATAACTGTACACTTTACCCTATATATTTTTTTTTTGCTGTCCATTTACAAAAAATATATATATTTTTTGTTTTCGTACATCACATAACTTCACCAAGATACAGAAATATGCAGGGTTGTTAAACAATACGTTTTTTAGATATCCAAGAAACTCACATTTTAAAATTTTAATTGTGATTTTGTGAACAAGATTTAAAAATGTTATTTTATAAATCAGCAACAATGATTAAAATTAGTATAAATAATGATTTTAACTAATAGTGTTAAACATCTCAACCCTGGATATTTGTTTAAATTAATAAATAATTTCAAACCTTGCTGCAGCTCTGGTATTTTTTGACATTTCAATATAGCAAATGAGCATATCATTTTTTTATTTATTTGAATAAGACATAATTAAAAAACAACTTTCAAATGTAATAACTGATATTTATTATATAATAAATTAACAAATTTTACATACGGACAAATACAATGTGTCATGTTCATGTACAACATTCTACAACACATTTTAAATATAAAAATGTAACCACAAAGTATTGGTTTTTCCTAATAATTTATAGTTTGATAAATATGAAATTTTTCATATGATTGAGATAAAGGTATTACCTTAGTATACATTCATTATAGTATTGGCGTTTCACATTTTGTGTGTTCTAAGTAGAATTAGAATCTCAGAGTACTAAATAAATATTTTATTAAGTATTAAGATGGATAACTATCCAAGTTCTTATGAACAATTTGTAAAGCTTGATAAAACGGTGTCTAAGAATGTGACAGAGGCACAGTTTTATAAGGAAGGCTATTTATCGATTATAGTTCTAATGAAATCATCAATGCAAGTAAGTTCTATAGTTTCAATTGTAACTCAAATAAATTAGTAAGTCTTATACTAAGGATTTTTCAAGAATATAACATGAAAAAATAATAGTGTAATAATTTAAAAAAATATTTTATCAGAAATTACATACGCTAGAGTCCAGAAATAAAAGTTTGGTAGAGGAAAATCAAAGACTTGAGGATGAAATTGACAAATATATAGAAGAAGCAGGATCCGCAGAGTTACAAATAGTAAATCATTTTAAGTTAATTATTCTATTATTCATGCAAACAACAATTTTTAGGAAGTTTAATTAGGTTCATGTGCTGATTTTCATTATAAATATACGTTAAAGTGCATTTAAAATATTATAAAATATACTAGAAATTACATAGACGATAATACAAACAGTGATTTATTGATTAATCATAATTAAAAAATTAAAAATCAATTTTCACAAAATGTATTCAGGGTAGCTATTTACTATCATATGTATATTTAACATATTTAGTATAACATAATATTTGAAAATAATTGTATTTACTATAGGGACAGTTGAAAAAGAACAACATAGAAAAGTTAAATTATAGGTTGTTTCAATAGTTGTAATATACTTTGTAGAACTAGGTCTTTTTGACCAATCACAGAAATTTAATCAATAGGTAGGTATTTAAATAACAATGGTATACATCCAAATACATAAGGCACTGATAAACTTAAATAATTATATTTTATGTAAAAAATCATATTTTCAATGTCACAAACAGGGTTCGAGATCATTGATGCAACTAGGGGGTGCAAAAGCATCTTTGGCACCCCTTATTTTTTAGATTTAACTATCATTATTAAAGTGACATATGAAATATTATAGTAACACACATTTTAGAGTGTTCTTTTAACACATTTAAAATTTTTTAATGTCTATTTTCTATTTTAATATGATGCAAGTGATAACCACTAACAAAAACTAATTAGAGAATAACCATTTTTAGATTGCTTAATTTTGATTATTTAAATGTTTTTTTCAAACGGTTGATTTGATAATTTTGGGTCGTGTTTAGCCCTGAACCATGTTCACATTCTTCACATTGTATACTGATATTATTATAAACCATTAAATAATTTTACTTTAATAAGCCCAGGACTATGAAAAATCTATTTCAAAATGATGATACAGTATAATCAAAATGTTCGTTTTGCAGTTATGCAAAATATGAGTAAAGATAAAACCATAGGCGCCGACTCCACGGTGGCAAAGGGGGCGATCGCCCCCGTACATTGATTTAACGGGGGCAAAAGTATTATGTCGCCCCCGTGCCCCGTTGTGTACAATAATAATTATTTGGTTAAAATACCAGATTATAACATGAAAATATTCATTAGTACATCGACGATTGTATATTTGTATATCGACATACGCAACGAATAAGGCAGTAACTCAATTTTCGCTACTTTTCAGTAGAAGCAAATTAAAGTTTGAATTACAATTCTTATTCTTATATTATTTGGATTTTATTGAAACTTACACAATATTTCATTTGTTTATCACTAAATATGGCCTGATATCAATTTCATTAAAGTTTGGATTTCTCTGGGTTTTCTTTGAGTTACTTCCTTTCACAAAAGGAGTTAAATCAAGTTACCACCATTTTTGGGGATAAAATATGACCAATATAAAGCAGTAACTTCTTCTTTATTAATATAAAACAAAATACAAAATATCTTTTTAGTAACTTTTAGTAACTTTTTTAGTAGGTAACTTCTTCTTAATTAATATAAAACAAAATAAAAAATACCTTTTTCAACCTTGAATATAATATAAAATAATAATATTATAATAGTAAAATGAATGATAATTAGAAATATTATTATATTGTATTATCATTAACAATACCAATAGATCCCTTCTTATTTTGAAAAAAAAAACCTTTTTCATCATTTAAAATACAAAATGTAGTAGTAATTAATAAGAATATGGAACTTTAATAATAGTATTTAAGTCATTTTTTTTTTGATTTGAGATTTTCATAAAATGAATGATAAGTTTTAGGTATAAGACCTTTTTTACATAGAGATAAAAGGTCTTGGATTTTTGCTTCTTCTATACACAGCTGTTCTTTATATGCTCTTATGGGAATTATGCGTTTGTCATAATATCGGCCTCTTTGTCTTTTTTTTATAATATTTATCTGTATGGAATCTGTTGAATTTAAATTGTACTTTATCTAAATTACATAAGGAAATTCATAATTAACAGACACTTCTTTTATATTATTCCACTTGATTAATGTTTTTTCATCAGAATTTTTCCAGTTCAATTTTTATTCTCAACTAGTGGTTTAAAATCCAAGAAATCATTGTAAGACATTTCAAAAACAGTATAAGGTTCACCTTTTACTTTAGCACATCATAATTTGTACTCTGATCTCCAACATTATTACTTTCTGGTAAATAATCGGGATCTTTGTCACTGTCATCAAAATCATTATCTTCAAACTCAAAATTTTCATCACTACTAATTTGTCCATAAGAATAAAAACTACAAATACTGCTGGTTCCTAAAGACATTGCATCAATGTCATGGTTGTATAGCTGATGACTTTCTGAAATCTGATGGATTTAAGTTATAATTTATAATAATAATATAAACTAATATAAATTATATGCTACTATGCTTCAAAAATTTAAATATATTATAAAATATTAAATAATACTTACTTCCATATTGTTATATTTATTGTTAACTGTTTCCCTCTGAACATAAAATTTAAAAGAAATCAAACAATTTCTTAAATGTACAATAACAAAACTATGAATCGTACCTACTAATTAATAATTATTATAGTCATAATTTATGATAATAATATTATAATATTATGATAATGATTCATAATATCATATTATTATCATTGTTGCTATTAACATCAAGACGAAATTGGAAATTAATTTTAGTTATTTATAAATAATAAAAATATAAAATATTATAGTACTGTAGGTAGTACCAACCATTAAATAATATTATTAAATATTGACTGTATTAACTATTATTGCATTTAAAAAGACAAACAGTGATAACAATGTTATGATATTAAGTATGTTATAAAATAATAATTATAATATTATTATTATAATATTATAATTATTTTACACGTGGTTAGGTACTACTTACTTCCTTGAAAGAAAAAAACAATCCGAAGAAAAAAGAAGTAACTCAATTTACATCAATCTTCGGTGGTAAAATGTATTTTATGATGACGTAACTCAATTTCCTTCTTTTTTCTTGAGATTTCACTATTTCCAACTATTTTTAGATCCTGTTTTACTCTGTTCACAATCGTGATACAGTTACTGCCGTTTTCGTAGGAGATAGAGCGAAAAAATGTCTATAACGCCATAGCAGTAACTCAATTTTCGATTTTTTTGAGTTACTGCCTTATTCGTTGCGTATGTCGATATTACCTAAATATGATCTATAAATTCTATAGATCGCTCGACGCTCACTACTATTTGGTTTTATATTTCGTCTAAAAATACATCTGTCATTTCAATTTTTCCCGAAATATGGAGACGGAACTGATTTTATTACCATTATAGTATATAAACTAAAAATTTTTAATTCAAAAAATATTATTTATAAATTATAAACAAATATATTTCAAATTCAATCTGAAAATAATTTATCTACATCTATTACATCAGATTTTTCAAAACAAAAAAAAAGAACATTTTTAACATCTTGGTTAAACAAATATGACCGGTTAGAACATGATCAAATTAATGATAAAGCTTTTTGCAAATTATGTAAATCTATGAGTATTAATAGCAACAATAATGTTGCTGTATTTATCTCGGAAGGCTTTAATAATTGGAAAAAAGCGGTGGAAAGGTTTAATATGCATGAACGTTCAGAATTGCACAAAACAAATATCGTTAAAAATTCTTTTATTAAAACAAATGCTAATGTATTTGCTCAAATTTCGGATAGTCATAAAAAATCTATGGAAGAATCAAGATTTGCTTTTGATAAAATATTATCTTCTATAGTTTTTTTGGCAAAACAAGGCGTAGCAATAAGAGGGCATACTGACGAATCTGCAAATTTCAATCAGTTATTAAAACTTCGATCGGAAGATTCGACTGAATTAAAAAACTGGTTAGGTAGAACTACTTATAAATGGATTTCCCATGATATAACAAATGAAATTCTTAGTACACTTTCAAGAGAAGTTATTAGAAACATTATTAAAAAAATAAAAGAGAATACATTCTATGCTATTTTATTAGACGAAATCAGTGACATTACAGTAAAAGAACAAATTTCATTTTGTTTAAGAACGGTGGACAAAGAATCATTTGAAATAGAAGAATATTTTATAGGATTTTATGAAACACCTAAAACTGATTCTAATACTCTTTTCAATATTTTAAAAGATATTCTGTGTAGATTAGAGTTGAATATTCATAATATTAGAGGATAATGTTTTGACGGCGCTAGGAATGTTTCTGGGATTCACAAAGGATTGCAAGCTAAAACTAAAGAAATTGAACACAGAGCATTATTTGTTCACTGTCAAGATCATTCTTTAAATCTTGTTACCCAAGATAGTATGCAAAATGTAGAAAAAGCTAGAGATATACTAAATTTTATAAGAGAATTAATTACATTTATCAAACAATCACCCAAGAGGCTATCTTGGTTCAAAATGGTACAAACAGAAGAGAACATGACTGCTCTAAGACCATTTTGTCCAACCAGGTGGACGTTTCGATATTCTTCGTTGTTATCTGTTATGGATAACTACAATGAACTATTGACATTTTTGTCGGATTTTTCAAAAACTGAAAAGAACGATGCAGGTTCTAAAGAAAAAAGATTTTTAACAATTAAAATCCTCAGATATTTATATTATGCTTAAAATAGTAATTAGTATTTTTAAACATATGGAAACAACAAATACAATATTACAAAGTAAGTCTTTATATTTTAAGCTTTCCGTACAAATTTTGAACACTTTGGAAGATACTATTTCAAATATGAGAGATGTATTCAATATTTTATGGGAATCTGCAAAAAACGAATGGTCAGATTTAAAGTTAGATCCACCGAAAGAATCTAGAAAACGATCGGCCAAAAAAGTCGGCCTATCAAAGTAGTGAAATCTACATTGCGGCCAAATCTGCTATTTTTTAATTCATAACCTTAATGCACTCCTACATTAAAGAGCAACACTTCTCTTTTATTTGTATTGTTTAACACTTGGTCAGTTTCTGAATGAGGAATAAACTAGACTTGGCCGCAATGTAGATACCACTACTTACTATGATTCGCTGTCTTTTTTGAGAAGAAATCTAAACCTATACTTTTTTCTGAATCTTCTTCAGAGAAGTGTTGCTCTTTAATGTAGGATTGCATTGAGGTTATGAATAAAAAAATAGCAGACTTGGCCACAATGTAGATTTCACTACTTTGATAGGCCGACTTTTTTGGGAGGGAGTTCGGAACTTGTCCTTTTTTCACTGTTATGTTTTTGATGGGGATATACAATAAGCCATCCAGATACGTTTAAGGTTTTTATCTAATCGAAACATTTTATCGCACAATAACGAGCTCTCAATTGACACGGTACTTTTTTCCGTGTTGTTATTATTTATTTTTTTATTCTTTTTATTTTTTTTTTAAATTAATTTTTTTATACGTCTTAGATTTTCTCTTGTAAGACCGTTTGGGTTTCTGTTGAGGAGCTGAGAAATTGGACTCTTGAGCGTTGTTAATATCAGGCAAAGATACCCAAGTACGGTCCTTTATTTAAACAAAAAAAAATCGGGGCACCTTAGTTGCGTCCCATTAAAAAGGTATACATGAATTGCGTCCCACTATATGGGATAGGTAGTAGAATTTTTATTTCGTTTTCAGGGGTTCTCAAAGGTATATTAACTATAAGTAAGCCACCGATGATGTTGCATTTGCAACTTTTTTCTACTTTTTCAATTTATTACCAAGTAAGTTTTAAATACATTTTTAGTAAGTAGAAATTCAAATCTAAAAATTTTAAGTGCAATTTATTGTAATTTTTGGGATTTTTTCAATTTTTTTGCAATTTTGTTTATTTACCAATTTACTCATTTATACAACTATTTTAGCTAAAGTCGACACTCGACAGTTGTACAGATAAGTTATTACTATAATTTCCCTCTATCAATATGAGCAGAAAAAAGTTCAAGTTTACAGCGAACGACAAACGCGTGCGAGTCTTTTCACAAAAAATTTAATAGTTTTTTTAATAGTTTCCATCCAAATATTTACACATTTTTAGATGTTTTAAAGATAATGCAAACCGATAATGTAATGTTAATAAAAAGCTCGCTAATTTCTGTACGTCATTATAGGAAACAACGCCAAAACAATATTTTATTTGTTGAAAATCAGATCAAAAAATTGAACGAAAATAAAATAACAAGGTTAGATTTTGTAAAAAGCTTATCTAATAAATATAAACCTAATTTTTGACTGACATTTTTATTGACATTATTATTATTAATTAATTAACTTATTTATTATATTATTGACTATATTAATTTTAATTGGATTTAAGTGATTTAACGTTTTTTTACTTTATATTTATAATTGTTAGTTATTTTTGTTAGTTATTTAAGAACCCCTGATTTAATTACACGAATTGCATCCTGTATTTTTTGGGACGCAATTCGTGTATACCTTTTTTACCGGACGCAACTCATGTGATCCCAAAAAAATAACTGAATATTTGAATAAAATAAATGTACGAAAACATGATTATGTTTTATAAATATATATATATATAATTCAACTACAAAAAATGCGAGCTAAGCGCGCCACTTCATACGTTTAGAAATACACACTCTGGAGAGGCATTCATTTTGAAAAAAATTCAATTTTTAGATTGTTCCCTTTAGTTACACTGTAAAATATATCTTTGTGCCAAATTGCACGTTTCTACCTGTACGGGAAGTGTCTTACAATTTTGATGATCAGTCAGTAAGTGAGTGAGTTAGTCAGTTAGTAACAATATTGAAAATTTTGAAATCTTGCCATTTTAAAATGGCACAATATCAAGGGCTCATTTTCTTACAGCGTCCCAAGCTACTAGAGGTTAATCTGTGTTTTAAATTTCAAAAGTTTATCTTAAGACGAAACAGTGATATATGGGTTAGAAAAAAAGGGCGAATTGGTTCGTGTAAAGATACACTGCCATTGCTGTAACTTGCTCTGCCGCACGCCGCACTGCCGCACGTTATAACGTTCTAATATCCGATAATTTCGGTGTAAACTGCTTTATTTGTTGCCTTATTTATTTGATATAAAAGAGACATGTGCCAATTTTCAAAACTTTCAGCAATATATATATATGACATAAGTTCCCGATTAAATTATATTTAAAGAAGAGTTTTACTACTATACAATAATTATAAAAATCTTTTTAATATATGTTAAATTAAATTACTATGTAGGTAATGTAGGTACTTATAATATTACTGTCGGTATTTTGGTTGTCGATTGACCAAGAACCGTCTAGAGAGACATTGTAATAGATTTTGTGTTAAATTTGAATTCAATGATGTAAAATCATAATATAAGTACAAAAATAGATTCTAAGCGAATACCTATAATATTACTAAGCAGGTAATATATTTTCATTACCTACTTATTGTCTTGAACAGAAGGCACAAAAAAAAAATGAAGAAAAAACAACATGATAATAAAATTAATACATTCATTGCCCCACTCAGGATCCAAAAATTAACTGAATAATGCTTACCTATACATGTTTTATATACATATTCTAAATTCTATGATTGTAGAATGTTCCAAACTTTTACACATTCATCATCTAGCATGTTAGGTATTGAAGGTATTGATTACGAGATCTGATTTGATATAGATCTCTGTTTATCCATATCCAGTATATTATTATTATGTCCTGCTTCATTGTAGTCCATACCTTGGATTGAACCTTGTTGAAGTTCAGTGCAATTTAAAAGTTCTTCATCACTAACCCAGACATCCATTTGTAATAATCTTTATAATACTAATTGCAAGCAACAAAGAACAAATAACAATTTATTTATGTAATTTATGTTATTTTGTAATAAATTAACTGCGGTTGAAATTAGAAAATTTTAAAAAATAATAGTCAGAAAATTAAGAATAATTAAACCAAATACCACATTAATGACAAATTACAATATAAATAAATGTATTAAATTATTTAACCAACTCCCTACCGAAATTAAGCAAATATATAACATAAATAAATTTAAATTAGCAATTAAAAATATGTACATGCGTTAGTTT